ATCAGACCGTCACTCCTGCCAGCCTTACCCAGCCTGCACAGGTAGGTGACACCCCAAAGCCAATTGCTCCTAGGACACAAATGTTGGTATTGTGTATTGTTTGCTGTATTTTGTCAGTGTCTGACCTTCATTATGTCCCCCATAGGTTCAGCCAAAGCCAGGGGTGATCAGCTCAGTTGGAGGGATGACTCTGGGGAAAGCTGGGATGCAGATACAGGTGTTGGGAACTAGTCTGACTCAAATGTCTGCTCCACAGCCCCCAGCTCCAGTACAAACTCAGGTAAAGAGAGTCAATGCATTTTAGTGAGGTCCAAAAAACAGCTGTTAATATTTAAGCTTCAGTCTGAAGGATTAATCCCCTGTTTGTTCACATCACAGACAACAACAATGAAGATGCCTTTCAGTGCAGAGCCCAGCAAAGAAGCCAGGTGTGTACTGCGTGAATTTTAACGGCTTATTGTAAGTGTCTCATAATGCATTTTCTAAAATAGTATTTCTTTATACACACTGCAGGATGCTAGAACAGCTGAGGAAACAGCAGGGTTCAGTGCTTCACCCAAACTACAGCGCTCCTTTCCACTCTTTTGAGGACACACTGCACAGACTGCTGCCTTACCACCTCTACCAGGGAACTGCCAACTCTTCTCAAGACTATCAAAAAGGTAACAACTCCATAGCCTCGAGTGCGGCCGAAATGCAGTTTCGTGCCATTTTTTGCCGTTATTAACATCTTGGTTGTCTTGTGCACAGTGGATGATGAATTTGAGAAGGTCTCCTGCCATCTGCTGAAAAGGACCCAGGCCATGTTGGATAAATATCGCTACCTGCTCTTTGCTGAGTCCAAAGTAAGTTTATAAATCAGCATTTTCACTCTATGTCTTCTTGTCTTCTTTGTCCTGAATTGATTTTGAACTGATGGATTTTGGTGTTTGAACCTGAGCAGAGACTAGGCCCCTCAGCAGAGATGGTGATGATTGACCGGATGTTCATTCAGGAGGAGAAGATTGCGTTAAATCAGGACAGGGTTTTGGCCAAGGAGAGACCAGGTACCCTATCACTTTCTTTGGCCATACATAACGTTGTGGTTGCGTTGATATAATTTAGGTGTATGCTAGTGTCTAATAATAACTATATTTATTTCTTTGCAGAGGAGTTTGTGGCAAACGCACGCATGTTGGAGAGTGTAGTTTCATCCCAACAGAAATCCTCTTCTGCTGAGCCCACCTCAGTGAGCGAAGGTGTCGCTGCTGCCGTCCCTGCTCCTGCACCTGCAGTTTCTGCCCCAGCGCCTCTTCCAAACATTGCCCCGGTCCCTCCTCCTGCACCCACCCAAGCTCCAGCTCCAGCTCCAGCTCC